TCGTTTTCTATTCCATATAAAGTGATTGAGGTTTTTAGCTTTCCTGCACCGTACATATGTACGTACTACAGTTTCACGATCATTTACACCAGTTTCACCAGTTCCACAATCATTTTCACCAGTTTCACCTGCAACTCGAGTACGTACTGACACCAGACAAACCGGCGTCGGCGTTTCGGTCTCTTCTCAATCGGATACGTCGTGTGACCTACGAACGGCTTAGTCGATAAGAGGCGGTTAGATTTGGCGAGTGGTATGTTTATGATCGTAGGTTTTACAAGGTAGCGAAGGTCAGGGAATTATAAGGGTCAAACTTCATTACAAGCACGAACTCTGCCTCTTCTTCAGAGGGCTCGAAGCCTTTATTATATACTTTCATTTACATAGGACACGTTATACACTGTATTCGTGATATATCGCTTATACTAATTATAACGTTTATACCAATTATACTGATGATAATGTTTATACTGATTATTTTACGTATACCACTGATACCCATTATCCGCCTGATACATAGTATACATAGTATACAGCAGATACAGCGTATACTGCGTATACTGCCGGTAAACCTATTTCAGGTATATGATCTACATAGCCGTCAGTCCATTACTGTGCCGCACCGATTACCTCCTTCCGGAATCACAGTCCTACGGCTCACAGTACCTAGAATTAGCGCCGAACAGCGGTGCAAAACTCTAAAATAGTAATGCTCTGCATTTAAATGATTTAAACAACTAAATCAAATTTCCGGTTTTTCTCATATTTAAAATAAAATGGATCATAATAATTCGGTTCATTATAAAATATCAACTAATTTAGACCCTTATGACCTTGGATACAATTATCAACATGGGATAGGTGCTGAAAAGGATGAACATAAGGCATTCATTTATTATCAAAAATCTGCAGAGTTGGGTAATTCTAGTGGAGCATTTAATGTTGGAGTTTGTTATCAATATGGAATTGGAGTTGAAAAGGATGAACATAAGGCATTCATTTATTATCAAAAATCTGCTGATACGGGTAATTCTAGTGGAACAAATAATGTTGGATATTGTTATCAAAATGGAATTGGAGTTGAAAAGGATGAATATAAGACATTCATTTATTATCAAAAATCTGCAGAGATGGGGAACGCGAGCGGAATACAGGCACTTGGTGTTTGTTATGAAAAAGGAATTGGAGTTGAAAAGGATGAACATAAGGCATTCATTTATTATCAAAAATCTGCAAAGATGAGGGACGCTAGTGGAACATATGGTGTTGGATACTGTTATCGTCATGGAATTGGAGTTGAGAAGGATGAACATAAGGCATTCATTTATTATCAAAAATCTGCAGAGTGGGGAATGCTAATGGAATATTTGCACTTGGTAACTGTTATAATGATGGAATTGGAGTTGAAAAGGATAAACATAAGGCATTCATTTATTATCAAAATATGCAGAGATGGGGAATGCTAATGGAATATTTGCACTTGGTAACTGTTATAATGATGGAATTGGAGTTGAAAAGGATGAACACAAGGCATTTATTTATTATCAAAAATCTGCAGAGATGGGGAATGCCAGTGGAACATATAATGTTGCATATTGTTACGAGAAAGGAATTGGAGTTGAAAAGGATGAACATAAGGCATTCATTTATTATCAAAAATCTGCAGAGATGGGGAACGCTAAGGGGATATATAGTGTTGGATATTGTTATCAAAATGGAATAGGTGTTATAAAGGATAAATATAAGGCATTCATTTATTATCAAAAATCTGCAGAGATGGGGTACGCTAGTGGAATGTTTAATGTTGGATATTTTTATGACGAAGGAATTGGAGTTGAAAAGGATGAACATAAGGCATTCATTTATTATCAAAAATCTGCAGAGGTGGGGCATGCTAAGGGAACATATAATGTTGGACGTTATTATGAAAATGGAAAAGGTGTTGAAAAAGATAAACATAAGGCATTCATTTCTTATCAAAAATCCGCAGAGATGGGGCATGATAAGGGAACATATAGTGTTGGATATTGTTATGATAAAGGAATTGGAGTTGAAAAGGATGAACATAAGGCATTCATTTATTATCAAAAATCTGCAGAGATGGGGGATGCTAATGGAATCTTTACACTTGGTAACTGTTATAAAGATGGAATTGGAATTGAAAAGGATGAACATAAGGCATTCATTTATTATCAAAAATCTTCCGATATGGGACATACTGATGGAATATACAATGTTGGACGTTGCTATGAAAATGAAATAGGGGTTGAAAAAGAATTAAAGAAGGCATTCGAATATTATCAAAAATCTGCAGATACAGGACATGCTGATGGAATATATAATGTTGGACGTTGTTATGAAAATGGAATAGGAGTTGAAAAAGGCTTTAAGAAGGCATTCAAATATTATCAAAAATCCGCAGATATAGGACATGCTGATGGAATATATAATGTTGGACGTTGTTATGAAAATGAAACTGGGGTTGAAAAAGACTTAAAGAAAGCATTCGAATATTATCAAAAATCTGCCGATATAGAACATGCTGATGGAATATATAAAGTTGGATGTTGTTATGAAAATGGGATAGGAGTCAAAAAAGACATAATGAAGGCATTCGAATACTATCAAAAATCTGCAGATACAGAACATGCTGATGGAATATATAATGTTGGACGTTGTTATGAAAATGGAATAGGAGTTGAAAATGACTTAAAGAAGGCATTCGAATATTATCAAAAATCTGCAGATATAGGACATGCTGATGGAATATATAACCTTGGACGTTGTTATCAAGGTGGAATTGGTGTAGAAAAAGATGAACATAATGCATTTAAGTGGTATTTGAAATCCGCTAAAGATAGTAATACAGAAGGACAATATCATCTTGGACTCTGTTATGAAAAAGGTATAGGTATTAATAAGAACAAAGAAGAAGCATTTAGATGGTATTTAAAATCTGCCAAAAGTAGTAACCCAAAAATGCAATATAATCTTGGACTTTATTATGATATTTGTAAGAAAGGATTGGATAAGATGAAAAGTTTTGATGGAATGTTTTATATGGGAGTTTTTTACGAGAAGGGTATTGAAGTTGAAAAAGATGAATGTAAAGCATTTAATTATTATCAAAGCTCTGCAAATTTAGGAAATGTTGCTGGAGCATATTGTCTTGGTAAATGTTATGAAAATGGGATTGGAATTGAAAGGAATAAGTATAACGCATTCAAATTTTATAAAAAATCCGCTAATTTAGAAAATGGCGATGGAATGTATAGAATTGGTATTTGTTACCAAGATGGAATTGGGGTTAATAAAGATGATCGTAAAGCGTTCATTCATTATGAAAAATCAGCAAAGATGGGAAATATTAATGCAATGTATGCCCTTAGTAATTGCTACCGAAAAGGCATTGGAACATCAATAGATTTACAAAAGGTTGATTATTGGTGTCAAATGTAAATATGTTTTTTTTTTAATCTACAGTATTATACTCAAAATTATTAAATTAATTTTGTATATTTAATAACGAATTAGGGGTGAAAACTCATCATTAGGTAATTGATTATAACTGAATTTTTTTTATAACTAGTATAAAAAATTTAAAAAATCTGAATTTTATTAGTTGCAAACGGAAAAATGAAAAATTTTGATATAGATGATGATTTAAAAAGAATATTGGATGAAGTTGGATGTCAATGGATTCCTTATAACGAATTTGAAATTGTCAAGAAAATAGGGCAAGGTGGATTTGCAACAGTATTTTATGCAATATGGAGAGATCAAAATAGTTTAACAAGAGAAGTTGCACTTAAAATATTTAAAAATTGTTACAAAGAATTTATGAACGAGGTAAATTTAATTTAATTTAATTTAATAATTTAATAAAATTTATTATTATTAATTATCTGATATATTTTCGAATAACGAAGCTAAATGCATATTGTTCTATGAATAATGAAAATACTACATTTTTAAAATGTTATGGTATATCAAAAGATAATAATTCTAAAGATTATATTCTTGTTATTGAATATGCGCCAAAAGGTTCTTTACGTAAAAACCTACAAGAGGTAGCTCAATTGAAGTGGAGAGATAGATGTAATATATTACTTTACATTGCCTTTGATCTCGAGGGAATTCATTCCAAAAATCTTATCCACAAGGATCTACATAGTGGCAATATATTGTTGGATAAGTCAAATAATGTTTATATTGCAGATTTAGGACTATTAACTCCAGTTAATAAAGAATCTAATATTAGTTATGGAATTATACCATATATGGCTCCAGAAATCTTTTGTAATAAACCATTGACAACAGCAGCTGACATCTACTCATTTGGTATTATTATGTGGGAAATTTCATCTGGAAAAGTTGCATACTATGATCGAAATGAAATTGCAGACTCTCTTGTTCAAGAAATATGCAAAGGTCTTCGTCCGAAATTTGCAAAAGAAACACCGGAAATTTATGTTGAGTTGGCAAGCCAATGCATGAACGCGGATGCATCTAAGCGTCCTTCAGCAAATGATCTCATAAAAATTTTATGCATGTTAACACAAGAGCACTGTATAAATATTTTCAAAGAAGCTGATTTAAAAATAAAAAATCTTGAATCCGAGTCTTCAAAAAACGTTGCCATCACTACCTCACGTAGAATTCACAAATTAATACAATCAAATCTTCCAAAACCAATAAACTCAACAGATATTCCAGAACTCAACTTGGATAAATATAACTCTAGAATCTCACAGAAAAGTTGTGAATTATTTGATGAATCGGATTATAATTCATATGCAAAAACCACTGGAAACACTAAGGAAATTGGGAAAGCAGAGATAAATGTCACAGATCATAATGAAATCGGACTAAAATGAAATGAGGATTTCTATTTGATCCTCTAAAACCAACTTTTACTTATTTATTGTGGCTGACGTTTAGATTACACCATATAAAAAATTTCTTATTGTGTAACGCCTTTCTGTATTATCATATTTAGACTAGTGGCATTTATTATGAATGTCTTCCATGTCATTCTGACTTCCAGTTAAAATTTGTAACATCATGGTTTTCGTAGGAGTTAAAATCGGTGACGCTATGGTTTCGTAGGAGTTGCTTCCAGCTGCTTCGATGGTTCAATAGTTGAAATTTTGTAAATTTTAATAAAGATAAAAGAAAGTTATTAAATTGTCTCCTAAATATGACTTCTGTCGTGGATCAAAATATAATTATAGAAAACTTCTTTGGCGGTTTAAAAGTGATTTAAACATAATTATGTTACTCTGTGACAATCTACAACAATTTTCTAAAATTAAAGTACTTATTTTCATCGAAATGCTTGAGTGTTTGGAAAATCTTCTAGACAAAAAACTCGATTTTGATAATATTAATTTCCTCCCAAGCATTGACTAAATCTTTTGTGAGTAAAAATTGTATCATATCATTACGAGAAGATTTGTTGAAATCCTTAAGCTTTTTTAAATAGCCTCAATTTACGTAGTAAAGTAATTACATTTCTGAAATACTTTCCCTCCACTGATGTCTGTGCCCAATTTTTTACCTCGGCTCTCTCATGTAGCGTGAGGATAAGTACACCCGGCAAATAACGGTGTGTTAATTTGAAATACTCATCATCTTTTGAAATGTACCAAAATGTCAACGAACGATTTATTCAAGCCTATTAGTAAAAATGGATCGAAAAAGATTTCAAAAGAAGGCCGGTTTAATCATGGCACCATTTGAAAGTTCATCCATCCTATTAGCCGAGTTGATCTACACATTCAAAGTTTTATTTCATACACTCTAATCCATTACAAACTCTTAGCCCAATTTTTAAATTTGTAAAAGAACTTATCTACATTAGCTTAAAAAATCTTTGTATGCCTCTAAATATCTGAAAAGATGCAAGAGTAAAAAACGTTTCAACACTGTTTGAAGACATTATAAATATGAAGTTAGGTTGCCTATTATCAAGTTCTCTATGTTCGGAATGAAACACTTCAATATACGTATAAGAAATATTGTCCTAATTCATCTAACAAACTTGTTTAGTTAAAGAATCCTCGGCCTTTTTTCTTCTGATAGTGCAAATATCGGTATCATTTCGATTGTATTTTGGACAGCTTAAGTGCAAAATAAATGTCAGCAAAGTATGTGACTGGTCGAGTGAATAGTAAAAATTCACTTATTACCGTTACGTAATTATTATCAGAAAAATTAATTACGTACCCCGAAAATTTATGCGCAGTGTGAGCCCGATTTTCGGGGTCACGGGTAGGGATGGGTCCGGTCGGTCACGGTCGGTCATCGGTCGGTTATTGTCGGTTACTGGCTAATAACCGGTCGCTCGCGGTCGGTCATACGGTCAAATAACCGGTCAAGTAACCGGTCAAATAGCCGGCTAATAGCCGATCATTTATCGTTTTTTTAATAGAAGATATCTCGATAACCACCTATTCAAATTCGATAATTTTTTTTTATTAGAATTCTACGAGTCAATAGAATTCAAATAAAAAAAAATTCATTGAATTCAGTCATGTGGTTATCGAAATACCTTCAATCAAAGAGAAATTTTTCCACGGCTGTTATTTTTATAGACGTTTTTATTTTTTAAAATCTTTGACCGAAGGTATCTCGACAACTATCTGATCAAATTCAATAATTTTTTTATTAGAATTCTACGAGCCTGTAGAGTTCAAAAAAAGAAAATTATCGAATTTGGTCAGGTGGTCCTCGAGATACAGTTTTTAAAAAAATATAAACGTTTATCAAAATAATAACTGCAGCAAAATTTTTTTCAACATTGATCAAAGGTATCGTGATAACAACCTGATCAAATTCAATACTTTTTATTTTATTAGAATTCTACAAGTCAACAGGGTTGAATTTGGTCATGTGGTTGTCGAGATATCTTCAAAGTTAGCAAAAATTTTGCTGCAGCTATTTCATTTTTTTTTTTTTTTTTTTTTGGTATTAAGGTGAGGTTTTGTCTTTATCTTTATTAATAATTTGTCATGGGCAACTACATGAGTTGACACAGGCCAGAGTCAATTTACAAATTTTTTACAAGAATAAGATTCAGACTATAGATGAAATTATTATCTAATTTATCTAATTTATCTGCAACCTAAACCTACTAGAGTGGTTAAAACTCA